GACAGCTACTATTATTTTATTAACAACTATCTTATCTGACAATTACAGTTAAGATCAAATGTTATCTCAAAAACGAAAAAAGATTATATCTTCCTACATTTTTTTCTGCTCACATTTCGTCGCATTGTCATTTGTGGGTATGTGTGTGTGTGTGGTGGTATTTGAATGGGGTACTTAAAATTCCACTCTCATAATTAAGATATTTTTTTTTTAATTCGAATTGTTTAGTTGTTGTGGCTGCCGTCATTATTATTGTTCTATCTAATTAGACCAACATGCTTAAATAATACAAACGAAGTGGTTAGTTATCAAGTCTCATCTCGAACTGCTCTCGAAATGATCATCACCTTGATGTTATAAAAAAAACTTTGTTTTTGGTGAAGCTTTTCTGTGAGAATGGCAAATAATTAACGATAGTTTCATTAGTCCGTTATTAGGTTTATTAACATGTCTTGTTTAAAAAATATTATTTGTTTTACTTTTGTTTACAAAGAAATAAGATCCAATGAAGGAAGGTCATTCGGTTAATGTCGGGACTATTATGAGTGAACCGAAAACGTGGCCAATTTTTAAGTTTTCTAATTTTTATGTAAAGGTCATTTCGTTTAATTTTTAAGAAGGCCTACATTTGTGAGAGGTTTTTGAGTAGGTGAATTTCGAATGGGGTCAAAACATAATAAAAAGCATTAAAATATTTACTAATGACCTAGGTTTTATTTTTACATTATGGCTTTCACTTTTAATAGGCTTTTGCGGAAGACTTTTTTCATATAGAAAAATTCTGTAGCCTTGGCGGAAGACTTTTTTCCGTATAGAAAAAAATTTTGTAGCCTTGGCGGAAGACTTTTTTTCGTATAGAAAAAATTCTGTAGCCTTGGCGAAAGACTTTTTTCCGTATAGAAAGATTTTGTAGCCTTGGCGGAAGACTTTTTTCCGTATAGAAAGATTTTGTAGCCTTGGCGGAAGACTTTTTTCGTATAGAAAAATTCTGTAGCCTTGGCGGAAGACTTTTTTCGTATAGAAACAAATTCTGTAGCCTTGGCGGAAGACTTTTTTTCCGTAGCATTGGCGGAAGACTTTTTTCCGTATAAAAAAAATTCTGTAGCCTTGGCGGAAGACTTTTTTCCGTATAGAAAAAATTCTGTAGCCTTGGCGGAAGACTTTTTTCCGTATAGAAAAAATTCTGTAGCCTTGGCGGAAAACTTTTTTCCGTATAGAAAAAATTCTGTAGCCTTGGCGGAAGACTTTTTCCGTATAGAAAAAATTCTGTAGCCTTGGCCGAAGACTTTTTTCGTATAGAAAAAATTCTGTAGCCTTGGCGGAAGACTTTTTTTCGTATAGAAAAAATTCTGTAGCCTTGGCGGAAGACTTTTTTCCGTATAGAAAAAATTCTTTAGCCTTGGCGGAAGACTTTTTTCCGTATAGAAAAAATTCTGTAGCCTTGGCGGAAGACTTTTTTCTGTATAGAAAAAATGCTGTAGCCTTGGCGGAAGACGTGAAAACGTTTAGAAAAAATTCTGTACCCTTGGCGGAAGACTTTTTTCCGTATAGAAAAAAATTTGTAGCCTTGGCGGAAGACTTTTTTCGTATAGAAAAAATTCTCTAGCCTTGGCGGAAGACTTTTTTCCGTATAGAAAAAATTCTGTAGCCTCGGGGGAAGACTTTTGGTTTTTGCCTTACTAGTTTTTTTGTTTAAAAAACAAATCTCCTCTGCCTCTTTTTAAAATGACTCATAACTCAGATTAAAACCGAACAGAGTAAGCTGAAAAATCTTTAAAAAGACACGATTATGACACTTTGTGAATGGCTCATATTACAAGACCAACAAGATAAGTTATGCATTTATTTTTAAAATTATTTTGTTGTTTTTTTTTTTATATTTTGTTTTGCTGTTGCAAAAATTCTTGGCAAAATGTTGGCATTTCAATACCAAAAACACAACTACCGTAATTTAAAACTACAGTGGTGGTCACAGAATTAAAACATTTACTGTGGTACACATTTTTTGATCAGCCCTCGACTCGTTTGAAGTATTTTTGAAATTTTTTTAGTTCAGAACACTTCGATATACTGCACTTAAGAGATTTAGTGCGAAAATAGAAAATTATTGCTTGAAATTTTCCATAAATAACGGTTTTTATGAAAATACATCGATTTTGAAGTGGCCATATAATTAAAACATTGTGTGATTTTTTACTTTACTGCATTTTTTTTGAAAATTTTTTTTAAAGAGCTCTTTAATTTAGTTAATATATGTAAACTAAGCACTGATAGAATCATTTACAGATTAAAATATCTGAAAAAATCTGTAAAATTTATCAAAATTGCCAAAAATTTGTACAGTACACGTAACATTCAGAAAACACACTTTATTATAGAAAATAAAGGTCCGAATGCACTAGAAATTGCTAGAATTAGTAAATAACAATTAATAATTCTCAAAATGAATAAATATTTGAAATAAAAACTCAAAAAATGGGAATTAACCTAAAGGAACGATTCAATTTCAATAGCCTTTACTAAAGAAGGCCGGAATATTTTTGCAGTATGTGAGAAAATATCGATTGATATTGGTATTTATTATATAAAATCAATTGGTCGAGTAGCACAGAATATATTTTATCAAAAAATATATCAGTCACAACAGAACGAACAGAGATCAAGGCCTATGTTGACGAGTAAAGGTCTCTGGCACACAGCAGCATGATTGATGGTCAACTCTTGACCCTTAAAATCTATTGAACATGACAATATTTTTCCAAAATAATATTTTATGAAGGGAATAGCTTCCACTGAATCTATTTTAGTAACAAATTATGAAAAATTTTACACTTTGACAAATATTTGAAGACTTGTGTTGAACATCAAAAATGCTGCTGTGTGCCAGAAACCTTTACTCGTCAACATAGGCCTTGATCTCTGTTCGTTCTGTTGTGACTGATATATTTTTTGATAAAATATATTCTGTACTACTCGAAAAATCGATTTGATATAATAAATACCAATATCAATCGATATTTTCTCGCACATACTGTAAAAATATTCCAGCCTTCTTTAGTAAAGGCTATTGAAATTGAATCGTTCCTTTAGGTTAATTCCAATTTGTTGAGGTTTTATTTCAAATATTTATTCATTTTGAAAATTATTAATTGTTTTTTACTAATTCTAGCAATTTCTAGTGCATTCGGACCTTTATTTTCTATAATAAGGGTGTTTTCTGAATGTTAGGTGTACTGTACAAATTTTTTGGCAATTTTGATAGATTTTACAGATTTTTTCAGATATTTTTATCTGTAAATGATTCTATTAGTGCTTAGTTTACATAATTGAACTAAATTAATGAGCTTTTTTAAAAATATTTTCAAAAAAATACAATAAAGTAAAAAATCACACAATGTTTTAATCAAATGGCCACTTCAAAATCGATGTATTTTCATAAAAACCTTTATTTATGGAAAAATTGCATGGAAAATTTTTCTATTTTCACACTAAATCTCTTAAGTACAGTATATCGACGTGTTCTGAATGAAAAAATTTTCAAAAATACTTCAAACGAATCGAGGGCTGATCAAACAATGTTTACCACAGTAAATGTTTTAATTCTGTGACCACCACTGTACATTCATTCATTGAAAACAGAATTTTATCTAAAGAAGTGTTAACTAAAAATCGTATTTTTTTCTTTCTTTCTTTGCAGATCATTAAAAAAAATAAATAAAATTGGAGACGAATAAAACCAAACCAAACGGGGGCAAGTGAACGAAATATTCCACAGTAACACACATATAATTATATAAATACAAAAATTTCAATCACGTACAAAAATTGTAATTTTTTTTTAAAGCAAGCGTGAATATTCTCATATTATTTATTACCTTCGGGTTTTCAGTGGTAACGAATTGTCTTCCCCTAAAAATGAAATGTTGTTTTTTGTGGTTTAAACTGTGCAATAAAACCCCAATTAAAATTAATTAAAATTTAATTCACAGAAATCAAAACAACCATATATAATAAATAATAAAAAAAATAAAAAATCAACAACGACAACAATAAAAAACCTTAAAAATGTCATTACATTTAAATAAACTAAAGCAGCAACAAATAAATAAAAATTGTTGCTTTACAACATTACCAAATATTAAAAATAACAACAACAACAATAGCGGTAAAGAAGTGTGAAAAAATTATATATCATATTAACCACAACTAATGCACAAATTATAACAAAGAAATAAGAAGAAGACGAGACAGAAGTAGTAATAAAATCTGAAACAAAAACAACAACAACAATCACCACAAATTACAAAACAAAAAATGCGAAATCATTATCACCATCATCATAATCATCAACAGCACCACCACAGCCATCAGCATCATCACCAGCAACCGCATAATCACGAGAACAGCAGCAGCAATCGCACAATTGCAAATACAATTAACAACAACAACAGCAATAACAACAATACTATTAGCAGCAGTAGTAGTTGTAGTAGCAGCAATCAAAATACCAGCGGTCACAATTCCACTAATCGTTATCAATTTGGCTTACATCCGGTCATGGCGGCCACAACAGCTAACGTCAATGTTGCTGCCACAACGCCTGTACTTAACAACACTAACAATATGAACAACAACAACAACAGCAGCAGTAACAACAATAATAGTAATAACAACAACAGTGTCGCTAATATTCCTGCCGATTGTCCTTCACTTAACAAAACAACAACATCACAACAACAACAACAATGTAACTCTCCAACAGCAACATCCTCATCAACATCCTCCTCCTTAACAGGCTCAACAATGGCCAACAACAACAATAATATCAATAACAACAACAACTCCACGAATTTAGTTAATCTCGCGGATAATGAAAATATCGATATAATTAATAATAACAATAATAAAAACAACAACCACAACAACAGTGTCACAAATACCAATATAAATTTAAATACCACAACAACAACAAATAATAATAGCAATAACAACAACAATAATGAATGCCGAAAATTATTAAATAAATCCTTTAAGGATAGTTTAAATTTCAATGAATTGACTCAGCATCGAAGTAGCAGCAGTAGTAGCAGTAAACGTCTTTCGCCCAGCACCGAATCGAGTAATATGAGCTTTTCCTCAGCCTCTGTGGCTGGTTCAATACAGGTGAGTGCCAAGGAATTTATTTTAAAAGTTTTAAAAACAGTTGCTCAAAGAGAGCTTTTCAAAGAAAGATTCTCCTAACAAAGCTTATGCTACTGTTTGATCCTCTCTTAACTAGTTGTTTGGTAAGATCAACAAGTTCTACAGTGAAATGATTTAAGGAGCCTGGATGTAGAACCTCAAAATCTATTTGGGCGGTAATCTCCAACTCAACATTGATTTCGATGGGTAGGTTAGGTTAAAGGATGTATAGCCACCAGTTGTTTAGCAGCCGTATCACTCAGAGATATTTGTCCATTGTGCTCATCCTATTTACCTGAAAAAAAAGTAGGAATGAACCTGTGAGCGGAGCAGTATAGTCGGACGGCGTCGACCATACGATACCCTACACAACTACCACGGAACTCAAATTTTCTGCGGATGTTTATTCCGAGCCTGGTCAATATTTCGTGATATTTGCACCTCTTGCCCGATAGAGGTAAACAGCACCTCTTCCTCACACTGACATATTTTCCGAATATTCCTTCACCGTGGGTTGTGTTGTGATGTTCGGCTTTCATTTGAGGTCTATAGATCGACTCGAAAATAACACAAAATTTAATTTTTCGGTCCACTTCATTCCAAAATTATTATCTGATCATCACCGAAATTTATAGGCGTTGTCCTTGACCATACCCGGAACCTCATGGAACATTTCAAAGCGATCAGCGATATAGTTCCGCTCTCTAGAGTGATAATGGGTTACTAAATAATATACGAATACGGAGATACCTGTAAATATTTAGGTGTAACTCCCACATGCGAGCACATACAACAATATAATTGGTCTTAATTTAAAGGTCAACCACTCCTCTTGGATATAATATCAACTTCTCGGGTCTATGTCCTTCAGTGGTAAATATATATGCTATAGAATAAAAATTTTGTCATTTTTCACACAAAAGTCAGGGTCCGTTTGACCCGCTAAATATTGACCGATCTTTATCAAAACAGGCATGCTTATTCTTTGGCCCGATCCCCTTCTCCAGGATGTTCGGGCCGTTATTGCGGCCTCTGGAGCGACCAGAAAAACCGAAAAAAGATTTATATTTGGTCCATTTCATCCCCTAAATATTAACCGATCTTTTCCAAAAACAATAGGGGTCTTCATTGGCCAGAACCCATCCTACATGCAAAATTTCGTGAAGATTGGTCCATAACTGTGGCGTGTATCGTGTTTACATATTATAATGGCCAGACGAACGGACGGACACACATGTCTAGATCGACTCAGCTAGTCGAGATATGACGATCGGTATACTTAATGGTGGGTCTAGGAACAATATTTCGCGGAGTTACAAACTTTTGGGACTGCACAAAGCTATAATACCCTGACAACATAGTTGTGTAGGGTATAAAAACCGCTACTTAGCGATGTAAATCTTGCAGTGACCTGTATCTCTCTTACAATGAGACAGCAGCGATGTAGTTCTACGACGTGACAAATCAGACCAAATTGTAGTTTTGTGTCGTCCGTGAACGACCTAGTTCAATTGAACGAGCCAGTCCACTGAATGAGTAAATGACATAGTTCAGTTTTTATTATTGTCGTTCACTAAACGATTTTGCTTACCAAACGCTGTCGATCTATAAACGACTTTGCTTTTCCTTTACACCGTAAGTGTTGTTCACAGATGCACTGACTTTGGCCAACTGGACGGTGTCAAATATCAACAATTTTATATAAAATCTGTTAAATTTAATCAAGGTACGTGTAATATATTATTGCCCCATTTCATGGAATGCGGCGCTTAGAAGATCAAATACTGAAGTAGTGTGTTACGTATAGCTGGAGGTTCAGTAAAAAATATGAAGCGACATTTAAAAGCAAAGCACCCCTACAGAAAATCGTGGAGATTGAAACCACGGAAAAGAGACAAAGGTGTCCGGAGCAACAACTGCAGCGCAAAAAACTGTGCAGCCGAATATCACGGAGTTATACCATCAACCACCACTCATTAAAAAGTGGAGAAAATATATAGGAAAGTCCTTCAAATGATTGAGAAAGGTCATCATTCTTTACGGTTGGTTGAACTGCCAGAACTTAATTGGAATGCGCTGTCATGCCAATTGAGCTGAGTAACCATTTAAACTATATAAGCAACTGAACGAGGTGAATGACCTAGTTCACTTTAAAAAAAATGATCTAGTCCGTTCGATCACTGAACTGAATGAGGTTGCCCAAGACTACCAAATAGTTTTGGAAAACCTGCATCCACGTTCCACTGACCGTCTGCTGTCGGCTGTTCGGATTTTCCCAATTAAATAGCCAATAGGTCGTACATACCACTTATAAACGATATAAGCAGCTGAACGAGGTGAACGACCTTGTTCACTTTTAAAAAATGATCTAGTTCGTTCGATCACTGAACTGAATGAGGTTGCCCAAGACTAGCAAATAGTTTTGGAAAACCTGCATCCACGTTCCACAGACCGTCTGCTGTCGGCATTTCGTAGTAGCTCTTCCGGCTTTCGCCAATTATATAGGAGCCATTCTTAGGGTATCAGTATGACAACCTTTACATACAACCAGTGTACGATCTGGAGTTTTAGTCCCAGCCAGGGATAAGGAGCCACTCTTAGGGTATGGGTATGACAACCTTTACATACAACCAGTGTACGATCTGGAGTTTTAGTCCCTATGGAGTTCGAGACTACTCCAAGGTATTTTGGTGACTCCACCCAAAGATGACAGACGGAATTTTGGGATCGTACGTTTCTTAGTGTTTGGGGTTTACCCCAAACTATTGGCATGTGCCCAGTTAGACAGATGTGCTAATGCACCCTGCACTATTGTATAACCAACATGTGCACATTACGATACTGTACAACATGTCAACTGTACAAACATGTGTCTCCTATTAGTTGAGTGTATTTTATTTTCGTTTTTTTTCATATTCTTCACAATCAATTTTCGATGGATATAGAAGATTTAATGATGACTTTTCAAAATGGGAGAAAAAAGTTAAGTGGAATAATGCTGTCTGACCATGGAACATCTACTCTGTCGATGCCTCATTCTTCGAAATATAAGTCATCAACGATTTTATATCCGAGATAGATCCCAAAATCATTTACAGCACTGTCAAAAACTTGTTATGGCTGATTTACCGATCCTAACGCCTTCCTATACATTCTTATTGTTGCTTAGCGCGGTAGTCATCGCTCATCCTCTAACCCAATTCTTACCTATCCTAATCTAATCCCATTCATTCTGTTAAAACATGGTTTTATTTATATAAGACAATTTCTTCATTAGGGTTGTACTATAAATTAATTTCCTCCTATGTTTTCTCAAAATGACTTCTTTGGGTACCAAGTCAGTGCAGCGCGGCAGCAGATGGTCCATCAATTCCAGATTGTGAATGAATTATCTTCTCTTGTTAATTTTTTGATTTTCTTTTCCTAAGACTTTAGGCAAACAAAGAGTCAGAAATGACCGTAAGATGAAAGTCTCTTGGTTGAAATCACAATAGAGACCGCCACATTTAAGACTGAACCTTTTCAAATACTCCTAGGTTGTTTGGAATTTAGGGTTTATCCCTGCATGTTTTGGAATTGGCTGGAATTTGATATTTTGCATTCTTATTGTCCTGCGATTTGCTGCAAATATATTTTTTTTTTGATTCTTATGGTGTAGAAGATATCTCTACACAGAAAACAAATTAATGGATATTTTCATAATTTCATTCATAGTATAATTCTTCCATGTAGTACATGTATTTCGCTTAGTATACAAGGAAAAATTTTTATAATCATGAGAAAACCACAATTTTTTCCAAAAAAGTAAATATTTCATTAATATCAAAACGATTTTCCTACTTCGCTCTACTTTACCACTATTTGCGCTCATTTTGTTCTTCTCTCTTTTTTTTATTTGGACAAAAACAATTTTATTATTTCGAAGAATAAAAGCAGCACCACCATTCGTTGTTCGGCTGTGCGGTTGTTAGTTTTGCAACTGTTTCGCTTGCTAACAACCTCTCTCTCAGCTCAGTCGATTGTGGTTAGTTTTGCATTCCATTGTTTTCTTGTTTCAGGCACTGCTACCAACCACTGCGTTGGTGTTATAAAATTCACATATTCATATTCCAAATTATTTTGATATAAATGCCAAAATAGAATATATCAAACAAGTGATGATATTTGAAATAAGTGTTCTTAACAACAAGCCGTATGTTTATATTTGTACAGTACTTTTCGTTTATAGTCCTTTAAATGCCCAAAACGGATGTAAGCGAAAACAGTACTATTTACTGAAAAATTTTTTTCCAAATTCATACAAATTATTTGTTCTTTAGTTCACTTCGCCTATAGTCCGTTTTCGTTTAAAGGCCAAATTTTCTGTGCATGCTAATCTAACATTGCGTAGAAAAAAATTCCATATAGTCCACCTTGTTTTTTATATATTTTAAATTGGCATGGCATTTATATTTCTGGCAACATTTGCGAATGTTAAAAATTGTTAAATTCATAGAAGTTGCGAAAACGGTGGTATGGAGAAAAAATTGATATTATTTAAAGACTATGAAGAAAATTGATTGAAATGTGGACAGTTTATAAAATAATAAAAATTAGTTCTAAAATTAAAAAAGCTTTAAATTCGTATAATCTAAAAATGTGTGGTTTAATGAATTGTGTGGTTAGAATGCGATGGTGGCTGGCCGTTTTCCTAAAAATAACAGCATTGTGATGACGAACTGATTTGCTATGAAATGTTAACCCTTTGTGGCCCAATGTTGCCCACAGGCAACAAAATGTTTTAGAGCTTATATTTATTATACAACTAGTAGGTATGCATTCTTTGGATTTCTTATGTCAAGGCCTGATTATGGACGACACACATCAGAAGAAAAATATAAAAAATTCAAATTTTTGGTAAAGTTATGAGCTTTTTAATACAGAGAAGAGGGCAAAAATGTGTACAGTACTAATTTGTGTATACAGTCCAAATTATTTAAATC